AATTAGCATCTGAAAAGTATAGGTGTAGTTTAAATCATGACTTACAAATTCACGTGCCTGCAGAGGCCAGGTATGCAATAAAGAGTGAAGCCGGCTAAGTGGAAGATTATAGGGAGTGCTGGGCACTCTGGGGAGGTGGAGGGTACATACACTCTTCAAAGTAAAAATTAAAAAAGATACTGTCTGAGTGATTTGTGGTGTGTTGGCTACCAGTTTGTGGTGCTTAGCCTAAATCAAAGGAATATTTTAAAACAGCATATAGAAATGTAGAAAATAGAAAGAGCATGTAGAAAATAGAGGGTTATTAATTTCACTGGAACAGGTGTAAATTAAATCACACTTCAGTTATGTTATTTAGCAGTCGTGTACACTACATTTTCCATTACCTGATGATAACCCTTTTAGTACCAACCAAAAATGTACCAACATTTTTGAAATTTTAACTATTTTTGCCTCAACTTTTCATTTCGAAAGATTGCAGACCTGCAGAAAAGTTGAAAGACTAGTACAACTAACACCTATGTATCCTTAACTTAGGTTAGTTAATGGTTAACATTTTGTCCCATTTACTTTTTCTTTATCTCTCATATGTATAAATATATATATATATATATATATATATATATATACACTTTTTTTTCCTCTTTCTCCTGAACTCATTTGAAAGTACATTGCATGGCACTTCATCCCCAAATATGCCAACATGTATCACCTAAAAACAAGGACATTTCTATATACATTATATATGTAAGTTATATAAATTATACTCGAGAAATTTGTAATGGTGCAGTAGATTTTAATATTCCATATTCAGTTTTACCCAACTTTCAAATAATGCCCTTTTCAGCATTAAAAAAATTTAGGATCCAATCAAATATATATTATCTTCTTTAATCTAGAGCTGTCTTTCATGGCATTAATGCTTTTAGCAGTCCAGGCCAGTTGTTTCATAGAATGCCCAGCATTTTGATTTGTCTGATTGTTTCCACATAATTAGATTCAGGTTAAACACTTTGGGCAAGAACATTCCATCGGTGACATGAACTTAGAGCAGCATGTCAGGAGGCCCAGGTCTCTCTCTCTTTGTCCTGTTGTTGGTGGTTATAAATGTGATCACTTGCGGAAGGTGGTGTCTATCAGACTTCTCCAGAGACGATGCTATTCTTTTTGTGAGTAATCTGAGTGATGCTTTGAGACTTCAGGAGTATTCTGCTTCCCATCAAGCTTTCACCTGAAAATTAACATCCATTGTTACTTTACTGAGTCAATTAATGTTAGTAGTTACAAAATTGTGATTTCCTCATTCCATCATTTCTTCTATGTTAGCTGTCATTCTTTTATAAAGAAAGGCTTTTTCTCCCAGCCCTGACCCCAGCCCCTCTCTTGAGTTCAGTATGAACTCATGGATTATTTTGTATTGAGTGTGTTATATTCCATTATTGTTATTATTCATATTGATGTCCAAACTATTTTCAATTTTGCTGGATCTCTGAACTCTTGGATGTGGGATGCATTTTCAGCCTTTCCCACTCAAGGGGTGACTTTTTTGTGGTTCTCGCTCCCGTCTTCTCTCTTCCTCCGAATTGCCACTTAAATTCTGTTCCAGCATGGATCCTGAAGCTTCATCCGCATTTGGCATTTCTTTCCCCTCTTACATGTAAATTAAAGTTAGTGGTAGCCTGTCTCCTAGTTGTGCTTTAGATGTGGAAAATAGGTGGTTTTATTTGCTGTATTTGTTGGTCTCTGATTTTTTGGAGGATGTGTGGTGTGATTAGAAGTTAGGTGGCTACAATTATTTGGTAGGACACTGGAATTCCTCTATTTTAACTACTTCTATGGTTTTCTAAGATGCGAAATGTCTGACTTTCAAATGAAGTTTTTGTTTAAACCTGATGACTCTTGGTAATCAGTAAGTTAACTCAGATAAGCCTTTAGTACCTTGAGAAGGATGTTATGCCATTCGTCCTACTCCCCGGAGTCTCTAGCCAGTGTACTCCTTTGAGTCTTTATGTTTCTTTGTTTTTCTACAGCCTTTTTCTTTCCACTTGCAGGCCAACATCATTGTTAATGCACTGACTACTAAACCCTATGCACTTTATTATCTGCTGTGAATAGACAGCTGGGAATTCAGATAACTCACCTCATTAGACTTGGGTGTGATCTTAGAATAAACAGGACCACATGAAAGCCTGAAGGCCTCTTGGAGCTTTATTTAGGGCTTGATTTTTCTTAGAATGTCTGTTTGCTTAATAAATAGCCATTCTTCCTTATATCCAGTTTTTTAGTATGTTTTAGTTTACAGTCAAGCTGATGTTAAATCATCTAAAAATGATATTTTACCTAATGATAATGAGGGAAGCAGTACAGTACCAAGAACAAAGATGTCTTTAGAATCACAAATCCTGGTCCTGCTGCTTATTGGCTGTGTAACTTTAAGTAGTTCCTTAACTTCTCTGCACTTCCATTTCTCACCTGAAAAACAAAGATAGTAGTATCTTCCACAGGTTTTGTGAAGATGAAAAAAGATATATGTGATAAATATAGAACAGTGCCTTGGTCTTGATAAATAATTGCCATTACAGTTAGTATGTTAATAAGAATGTATGAATATTTACTCTGCACGAGGAGCAGTGATTGCTGTTACATAAAGCAGGTCATCAGATCTTTAGGATCTGTTTGTGACCTTACCCACTTCTCACCATCCGCATCCTGAAATTCAAATAAGCTTTAATGATAATTTGTTAAATCTCTAAACTTTCCATTGAAAAAGCATAAATTATTATTTTGTAACTTACTCATTATTTAGAGGTGTGGTTTAAAAGGGACAGGTATAGCTAAATGCCTGAATGATGTTAATTTCAAAGACTCTAAAACACTTTTGTGAGTACTATAGAAATGCACAGCTTGTGATGAAATTACATTGTTGTAGAAACATGTGTCCACTAGAGGTCACATTATACTTTTATATTATAGCTTCCTGCAAAAATATGGTTTGAAAAAGAAAGAAACCCAAGCTGAACTATTACAGGAACCATGCTTATATGTCATGGTTTTATATTGGACAGTTTCTTACTCTGTTGGTTAGAAAATCAATTTGTATTATTGAAGTTAACAATGAGATATTACTCTCCAAGTTATAAATAGAAACTTCTTACTCCTCACCACACAATAATTTGCAGTTCTTGAAACTACTTCTGAATGATTACAGGTAGGCGTAGATTAATATATGACTGTTTTTCTCAGGTATTTATTTTTGTTAATAAGTATGGATTTGGAGTCCTACCTGCTTGAAGAGTGACCTACACAAGCAACTTAAATTCTCTGGACTTTCAGCTTCCAAATATGTAAAATGTGAATAATAGCTATGACAGTATTAGGGTGAAGCTCAATATTTAAGTGAAAGTTCTATGCAAATGATAAAGTTTGTGCAAATGGTAAAGTGGATTATTAGATAACTGCTGTTTTGGGCCCACTAAGGCACATTATGGGAAGAATATAGGAACCTCCAAATTTCTGTCCTCTCTTTTCTGATTGAATAGGCTACTAGTTTATATTTAATTTTCTGAAATAGCCATTGTGGCTAATAGTGGATATATTTTAAATAGGCTACCTTTAAGATATTTTATTTTAGAAAATGTTCTAAAAATCAACTGTAGCTGTGTGGAATATTCACTATGTGGAATTTATTCCACTGCGATGCTTGATGTTACTGTTTTTATATAGTCAAAGCCTTAAGTGTGGAATTAGTCGTTGGCTAAAAAAATGAGTACTGATTCCTGGAAGTTTCATATTTTTGCAAGTTTTTGTAGAACCAATGGTTTTACTTGAATTTAGGCTTTGCTACAGTCTGCTTTTACTGATAATTTTGGTCCTGATGTGGATAAGGTCAGAGATGAAGTGATAGATACTAAGGTAATGAAGAGGTAGGCCGGATAATTATGGTGCTAAGTAAAATTGGTGATTAAAATGTTTTCATTACATAAAGTCACAAATTACAAAGGTAATCTTAACTGTTCTGTTAATAGCCATGCAGGGAAGACTTGATTGGCAATTTCAACATTGAAAGTGCAAGCAATTTTTTTTTTTTAATTGTGGAGAGGGGAGATAGAAAGTGCAGAAGTGAAGGTTGCAATTTATTTTATTATTATCATTATTTAAATATTTATTTATTTGGTTGCACTAGGTCTTAGTTGCAGCAGGCGGGCTCCTTAGTTGTGGCATGTGAACTCTTAGTTGCGGCATGTATATGGGATCTAGTTCCCTGACCAGGGATCGAACCCAGGCCCCCTGCATTGGGAGCGTGGAGTCTTATCCACTGCGCCACCAGGGAAGTCCTCAATTTTTAAACTTTGGTGTGCAGAAGTGATTGTGAGAGTAAGTAGAACAGTGTTGGCTCAAAACAGGAAGCAAATATATAATTAAAATTTTTTTCTTCACTGTAAATACTTGGTTTTCACTGCTCCCTCTCCTACCTTCCTGTTCTCTTAACTACTGCTAATGGCCCTGAGCTCAAATGCAGGTGCCTGACCTGGGTCTGCTTGACACCAAAGCTTGTAGTCTTACCTTTTACATTTACCAGACTGCTGCTTTTTGAGACCTTCTGTCATTATAACATAATTTATCTTATCTGTATTTGGAATGCTTCCTGATAAGTACATATTATATAGATTTTTTTCTCATTTTATGAATTTTATTGATAAGAATCCCTACTAAATGTCTGTCTTGAATGGAAACCATCATGAAAGGTTTTGGGATCTCTTAGTTTCCAGCCTTGAGTCTCTGCTTCACTGTTTATTTTTCTGTGATTAAGGTCCCTTAATCTCTGAGTTGTTTCGTTATTTGTTCAGTGAGGACAGTCATTTCAATATACAGTTGTTGAATAAATAATAGATTTCATATCTAGCCTACTGATTTCAGAAACGTTGCTGTGGGGTTTGTTGTTGTTATTGTTTTTTAGACAGGTGGCTGTGTTTGAAATTTTAATTTTTTTTCTCCTGTAGATAACAGATAAGAGAGTGTCCAGAAGACATGCCATTCTTGAAGTGGTGGGTGGTCAGCTTCGAATCAAACCGGTAAATATGTTATTGATGATTTATTTTAACATTTTCTCTCTCATGTGTTTCCAGCTCCTGATTGGAGGGGCTTATTTTTAAGGTTATGGAAATAGGGAATTAATGTCGGAATGTTTTTTTCTTATTGCCAGAAGATAATTGGGAGATAAAGATCTAAACTGTTTAAGCTACTTTTTTTTCCCATGGGGCAGTGCTACATTTATGTAGTTAGAATCTTAATGAAAGGTGACTACCAGTTCATGTGTACATTATGATTTTGTTCATGAGTAGGTATTACAAATAAGATTCTATAAGAAAGTCCATAACTGTGTAATGGTTGGCTTTTGGGGGATGGGTTAGCAACCAAAGTCACTTAAGTGTTATAGACTTGTTTCAATAGATTTCTGTACCTAGAGTATTTTCCAAATTGGCTTAATAGAGATGCTTAATTGGAGTCATGTCTATACTTGGATGAAAAGTATTCAGGTGTATTTTGAACTTCTGTGACTATTTAAAAGAGTATCGATAATATAAAATAAATATACTTAAAGGTGATTTTATTAATGGAAAATTCTTTCTTCAGGTTAAACTTTATCCCTTATGAAGTGGGTCAGATTTCTGTATGGGTGTTTAACAATGTTCAAACAAAGAAGACACCTTTTAGAAAACATTCTTTACCTTGCTTGGTCTTTAATTAGATTGTGTTGATATAAGTCAACAAGTGTCTTTTGAGCACCAAACTGTGGTAGATACAAAATTAGAAGTTAGAGCAAAAATTCCACATTAGATTATAGACTTTTAAAACTAAAATTTGGGATGGTAACATTTTATTTAAATTATACCTTTGTTTATATTTATCTTTTAAATATTGTTTAGTATAATTTTATGAACTTTTAGTAAGTGACCTTATATACATGGGAAAAAGGTAAGTGTTTTTACCCTTTTCTTGGTACTATTATTTTTGACAACTTAGAATGTCTAATTCTACATAGTCAGCAAGTTGTTAAATGAGAATTAGAACTCAGGTTCTTTGAACCCTCTGCAGTATTTTTTTTTTTTTATCACATTTTCCAAGTCAGGATTCTTTTGCCATGTTCTCTTCTTTAAAAAAAATTCTTGAAGTTAAAACTAATTGTTTCAACTTATCTTCACAAGATGTTTTAGTGCCTTCAGTTGAGTAGAACTTTAGAACTGAAAGCAATCTTAGATTCAGGCTTTTGTATGTGGGAATTTGATTTGGGCCAGAGCTGGCATTGCATATAAATGGAGAAGAGAACTTTTTATCAGTAAATGGTACTGGGACAGTTTGTTGTTTGTTTGGGCAAAAAAATTTTAAAAATAATTAGACCCCTACCTCAAACCATACACAAAAATCAATTCCAGATAGATTAATGTGAAAGTCAAAACTGTAACACTGTTAGAAGATAACGTAGGATAAAACCTCTATGACCTTAGAGTAGGGAAAGGTTTTAAAATAAGATATAAAAAGCAGAAACTGTAAAGGAAAGATTGAAAAAAAGCCAATTACATTAAAATTAAGAACCTTTGCTGATCAAAAGACACTATAATGAAAATGAAAAATACAACAGGGAGAAGATACTTAAAACACACATAATTAACAAAGGAATGATATCCAGAATTTATAGCAAATGCTTTCAGTCAATGAGAAGAAGATAATCCAATAGAAAAATGGGCTGAAGATTTGAGTGGCACATTGCAGAAATGGAAACCTGACTGGCCAGTAAACATGAAAAGCAGGTGCTCAGCCTTCTTATTAGATGGAGAAATAAATGAAACCACAATGAGATATGATTCCACACCCAACAGATTGGCAAAAATGAAGAGTCTAACAATTTCAAGTGTTGGGGGAGCAGTAGAACAAGTGGAATAGTTATGAGCTGTGGCTGGGAGCTTAGATGGTGCAGCCACTTTGGAAAATAGCTTGACGCTATTTCCTGAAGATGAAGGCTTGTATTCCCTGCAAGCAGACCTCACGCACACACAGGTACCAATAGATATGTACAAGAGCCTGAAGAGCAAAATTGTTTATATGATAGCAAAACACTAGAAGCAACATAAATTTCCACCAACAGTAAAATCAATAAATATATTGTGATATATTAATTTAATGAAATGTAGTACAACAGTGAAGATACATTACTGTGAAAGCTGAAAAAGCATATATTAAAATCAGGAACATAATACTGAATGATGAAAGCAAGCATTGGAAGAATATTTACAGTGTGGCTTCATTTATGTAAGATTAAAAATCCTACAAAGTAAACAATATATTCAGGGTCATAAACATAGGTGGTGAAACCATAAAGAAAATCAAGGAAGTGATAAACACAAAAATCAGGGTAATTACATCTGAGGAAACTGAGAAGAGAGTGGTTAGGTAAAGACTCATTGGTAACATCAAAGGTAATGGTAATATTCTTAAACTGGGTCCACACATAATATCTTACATGTATTATGTCTCTAAAAAATTATTACGGAATATTTATAACATGAAAAAAGGGTAAAGAATAGTACAGTATATTGCAGTTATTTCTGTAATGCCAAACTACCAAACATTGGAAGACATTAAAAATGTTTTTTTAAGGAAATGTGCAGTTCTAGTACTAGAATTTGATTGCTCTTTTAGAAAAGTATTTAATTGGGTTTTGAATTTTATTCCAAGAATTACGAAATTCACTTTATATTAGTTGAGGGAAAGCTGCTTCTTGGACTTAGTGATATACGTATGGGTTCTTTGCTTTATGTAATGCTTGATTTCTTGTTTATATTAATATAGTTTCAATAAAATACCTATCCCCTTGAAATAGATTTATTTATTTAATCAGCATCTTATTGTAGCTGCACCTTCAAGATGCAATTTAGAGAAGTTTAGAGGAATTCTAACACTGACTTTGTTAATGGAAGTTTAAGATTAGAAATAATGAGTATGAGATGGACAGATAACTTCCAGTTTATTCATTTTATCATAATGTGTGCTAAATATCACTTATTCTCTGTTCTAGTCAATCACAAATTATTTGATCTGCTAAAGCAAATTATATATACAGCTGTAATAAAGTGTTGAGAGAGAAGTTTTAGTTTAAAAAACTTTGTAAAATTATATAAATAAATATAGCAGATATTTTGTTTTGATGATCCCTTCTGTATGCTGTATACTCCACTTTATGTTTAAGTAATTAAATGTTTTTTTGCTTTCCCTCAAATTAGAAATCTAAGTAAATAAAAAAGTAGCTTGGACAATGATAGATGAATGCAATTGGGGAGTAACTAATTTGGACTTTTAAATTGGATGAATTTGTCTTTTTTTCCTGCTCTAATATTTCCCTTTAGAAAAGCCTCTAGCTCTTAGCAGTTCTTGGAAATAGTGCATGAGGAGATAATATTAGCTCATGGGGAGATGATGTTAGCTTTTTTGTGTGTCGTTTAAATTTGATGTACAGTCTGGTATCAGCAGGGAGAAAATGCATTCTGAAGGCAAAATGATGATGTTCTTTGTAAATGACTGTATCACCAGTGGTTAGTTATGTCATCAGGGTGAATTTATAGCTGTCAATGCTTTTTTTTCTTTTTTTTTTGTGGTACGCGGGCCTCTCACTGTTGTGGCCTCTCCCGTTGCGGAGCACAGGCTCCGTACGTGCAGGCTCAGCGGCCGTGGCTCACGGGCCCATCTGCTCCGCGGCATGTGGGATCTTCCCGGACCGGGGCACGAACCCATGTCCCCTGCATCGGCAGGCAGACTCTCAACCACTGCGCCACCAGGGAAGCCCTGTCAGTGCTTTTATTTCATTTTAATAAAAACTTACTTTTTGGTTCTTGGATGATTGAGAGAGTAGTTCTAAACTGTGTATAAATTGCAAAAGATATGTATTTTTTGCCATTTGGTATTGATTCTCAAAATATGCAGCTTTGGGTGATTGTATCTTTTCTATTGCACAATGAAATTTCTGAGTTGTGATTGTTTTACTTCCCATGAAATTATGGGTGCACTTGTAAAATAGCTATAAAATACTAAAATAGCTTTTCCACAACTCATTTTGTTTTTCAAAAAAATGCTTTCCAAATTAAAAAAACACAAAATAAGAGGGAGCGCTTTTTTCAGTATACATCAATCTTTGTTTAATATTTAATGATAATTCCAATAGAAAGCTATAGAAAATTGATTTGTATTTTAGTTCTAGTCCTTCAGGGATAATGCATCCTTTGCACCATTTCTTTTTTTTTTTTTTAACGTCTTTATTGGAGTATAATTGCTTTACAATGGTGTGTTAATTTCTGCTATATAACAAACTGAATCAGTTATACATATACATATGTCCTCATATCTCTTCCCTCTTGCATCTCCCTCCCTCCCACCCTCCCTATCCCACCCCTCTAGGTGGTCACAAAGCAACGAGCTGATCTCCCTGTGCTATGTGGCTGCTTCCCACTAGCTATCTATTTTACGTTTGGTAGTGTATATATGTCCATGCCACACTCTCACTTTGTCCTAGCTTACCCTTCCCCCTCCCTGTATCCTCAAGTCCATTCTCTAGTAGGTCTGCATCTTTATTCCCGTCTTGCCCCTAGGTTCTTCTGACCACTTTTTTTCTTTTTTTTTTTGATTCTTTTTTATGTTTTAGTGTACGGTATTTGTTTTTCTCTTTCTGACTTACTTCACTCTGTATGACAGATTCTAGATCCATCCACCTCACTACAGATAACTCAGTTTCGTTCCTTTTTATGGCTAAGTAATATTCCATTGTATATATGTGCCACATCTTCTTTATCCATTCATCTGTTGATGGACACTTAAGTTGCTTCCATGTCCTGGCTATTGTAAATAGAGCTGCAGTGAACATTGTGGTACATGACTCTTTTTGAATAGAGGCAGAAAATGTTGTGTCTGTCTTCTCCTTTTTTATAAATATTGATAAATTTTTGTCATTTTATAACTTTTAAGAAACAACCTTTTGGACTTCTTGTATGTGTGGCTTTTTAGTTGGAGTGTATATTGTTTGATA